GCCAGCCGCATACGTCCGGCGGCCATCCAAACAAATTTGGTGCATATTTAAACAAACTGGATGAATCTCATTGAAACTTGAATAATTTTTACATAAAACCGGATGGTTTTTGATATATTTGCACTAGACCGGACTCTATCCTAGCCTAAAATGACCGCCAGCACCCGTTCCCCATCTCCGGTTGGCCATGAGCCTCGAAAAATGAAGCTCCGCCTCCACCTTCACCTCCGCAGCCTACCAGCGGCTAATCGGCTGACGATGATGAGCCCGCCAAGCTTGGCTTCAGTGGAAACGAAAGAGCGGTGGCCTTCTTTGCTGTCGTCGGCGCCCGTGGACGTGCCGGTTCTCGTGGTCGTGGTGGCGGGGCACGGGCTTGGCGGAGCTGGCGACGTCCTCCTCGTCATCGCTCTTGCCGTAGACTTCGTCAACCGCCTCGTTGAACTCCTTGAAGGCCGCTTCTAGCTCCGCCTGATACTCCCGGTACTGCCGGCGGACGCGGCGGATTTCATGGGCGGTGCAATAGGAGTTGACCAACGCCTTCTGCTCGGCCACGTCCACGTCCGACACGATGGCCATGCCGGCGGCGAGTAGCTCCCTCCACGTGTCGGTGCTCATCGAGGAGGCGGAGGTTGTAGGCCTGGTTGGCCTACGCCTGCCGGAACGTGGCCTCCCGCTCCTCCAGCACCATGTCCGTGTAGTGAGCACTAACCTCGACCATGGTGATGCCGGCATGGACTGTGAGGAGGGTGGCACCAGCTCGTCATCTGTCACGTTCTCCACTAGGACGTCTGCATCGCCGACCTGCCAGCCGGCATCAATGGCGACGATCTCCTTCTTCTGCTCGGATGAGAGATTGTCCCAAATGGCTTTGGACCTCGGGGACGCCATGGCAGGCGTCGTGCGGAGAACATAAAGGGAGCGAAGAATGATGGTTGCAGCTATGACCGAGGCTGGAGTTTAAATAGCCAGCGGATGGCAGGGCAACCGGCGGGGTGGTTAATATGGTGGGCGGCAGACAGACGGACGGGAGGAGTCCGGGTAGGTTCCTCGACAACCGCATATGTTTAATGAAGGTAGGCAGAACGATGGGCTATTGTTTGAACGCGGGGCAGTCGCGTGCGCGGGAACAGCGCAATAAGCGCTCTCGGCTGCGGGCCACTTCAATGCCAGAGTGAGAGGTCGTGCCACCTTGAGCCGACATGAGTGCGACACTAACCGCTTCCAACCCGAAGGGGCGCCGGCTCAGGAGAGAGGTTTTTCATGGCCCAGGTCAGACAGTAGCGGGCGTGGCAGCGACTCGGAGCCCACAAAGCCCCCTGCTACTTGTGAGCTACGTTGGGATTTTCCCCGAAGAGGAAGAGTGAAGCAATATTGTAGCTCATAAGTATTTCCCTCGGTGAGAACCAAGGTTATCGAACCAATATGAGAACCACACAAATCCTAGTGAACAATATCTTCACACACAAGAGCAAATACTTACACCCAACACGTGCAAGAGGGTTGTCAATCTCCTTGAACTCGTTACTTACAAGGATTAAATCTGGTAGGGGCAGATAGATAAAAATGAAAGTAAATAAATTGCAGCAAGGTATTTTTGGTTTTAGTAATATGATTAAGATAGACTTGGGGGGCTATAGTTTTCAATGGAGGCTTCTCTCTCGAAATAATAACATACAATGGGTAGACGAATTACTGTTGGGCAGTTGATAGAAAATCATATAGCTATGATGTTATTCACTGCAATGATCACGTATATATGCATCACGTACGTGACAAGTAGACTGACTCCTACCTACATCTACTACTATTACTCCACCAATCGACCGCTATCCAGCATGCACCTATGCTATTAAGTTCATGACTAACAGAGTAATACTTTAAGCAAGATGACATGGTGTAGACAAAGTAAACTCAAGAAATATGATTAAACCCATAGTTTTACCCTTAATGGAGACAATACAAATACATGCCTCGCTACCCCTTCTGTCATGAGGTGAGGACATCGCAAGATTGAACCCACTACAAAGCACCTTTCCTGTTGAAGATAAATCAATCTAGTTGGCCAAACCAAATGATAGATCAGAGAGAAATACAAAGCTATAACAATTATGCATAACAAAGTTTATAAAAAGACTCAGTTACTTTCAATGATTAATCTGATCATAAATCCACAATTCATCGGATCCTGACAAACACACCGCAAAAGAAGATTACATCGGATAGAACTCCAAGAAGATCGAGGAGAACATTGTATTGAAGATCAAAGAGAGAGAGAGAGAGAGAGAGAGAGAGAGAGAGAGAGAGAATAAGCCATCTAGCTACTAGATATGGACCCGTAGGTCTGTGGTGAACTAGTCACACATCATCAGTAGGGCAGCAAGGTTGATGTAGAAGCCCTCCGTGATCGACTCCCCCTCTGACAGAGTACTGAAAAAGGTCTCCAGATGGGATCACAGAAGAATAGAGACTTGCAGTGGTGGAAAAATTGTTTCGGGTGGCTCTCTGCGGGTTTCCCAATATTTGAGAATTTCAAGAAGTGGAATTAGGTCAGACGGAGCCACATGGGGCCCATAAGGTAACAGGGCATGCCTACCCCCCAGGGCGCACCCTGTTGCCTTGCGTCTCCTTGCTTCGCGTTTAGTCTCCTCCCGAAGCTTCTAGGGTCTCTTTGTCCAGAAAAAAAATCATCAAAATGTTTCGTAGCGTTTAGACTCCGTTTGGTATAGATTCCCTGGAAAACCAAAAACAAGCAAAAAACAACAACTGACACTAGATTATAGATTAGTCGCCAAAATGATATAAAATTGCATCATAAAGCATATAAAGTATCCAAGATTGATAATATAATAACATGAAACAAAAAAAATATAGATAAGTTGAAGACGTATCAGCACCCCCAAGCTTAATTCTTGCTCATCCTCGAATAGGTAAATCATAAAAACAGAATTTTTGATGTTCAATGCTACCTAGCATGTTTATCATGTAATCTCTTTACGATATAAATGATGAGAAACGATGAAGTAATAATATCAACATAATAATATCCATGAATATAGGAAACATAATTATCACTTTTCAAAATATACGATCCTTAATGAATGTTATCCCTACTCATTTTATCATGTTAGCATGGCATGACCCCGCCTTCACCGCATAAATATAAATCATGAGCACCCCGTTGTCAAATCATGCAATTGGATCATACTTTTTAACGCGCTTCAATATTTTCAACCCCACGCAATACATGAGCGTGAGACATGGATATAACACTATAGCTGGAATAGAATGCGGTGGTATGGATTAATAGGAGAAGTTAAAAAGGAAGAAAGTCTCACACCAACTCGGCGGATCAACAAGCAATGGAGAGGCCCATCAATCGATATCAATGCAAGGAGTAGGCATTGCCATGCAACAGATGCACTGAGAGCTATAAGTGTATGAAAGCTCAACAAAAACTAAGTGGGTGTGCATCCAACTTGCTTGCTCATGAAGACCTCGGGCATTTGAGGAAGCCCATCATCGGAATATACAAGCCAAGTTCTATAATGAAAAATTCCCACTAGTATATGAAAATGATAACTCAAGAGACTCTCTATATGAAGAACATGGCGCTACTCTGAAGCAGAAGTGTGGTAAAAGGATACTAACATTGCCCCTTCTCTCTTTTCTCCCATTTTTTGTGGGCTCTTTTTGGCCTCTCTTTTTTCCGCCCGGAGTCTCATCCTGACTTGTGGGGGAATCATAGTCTCCATCATCCTTTCCTCACTGGGACAACGCTCTAATAATGATGACCATCACACTCTTATTTACTTACAACTCGATAAAAACTATACAAGAGACTCTATATGAATGCCTCTGGCAGTGTACCAGGATGTGCAATGATCTAGCATAACATGTATAAGAATGTTGAATGATGGCTTTGCCACAAATATCATGTCAATTCTATATGATCATGCAAAGCAATACGATGATGAACACACAAGTCATGCGAGGTAACGGTGGAAGTTGCATGGTAATATATATCGGAATGGCTATGGAAATACCATAATAGGTAGGTACGGTGGCTGTTTTGAGGAAGATATAAAGAGGCTTATGTGTGATAGAGCGTATCATATCACAGGGTTTGGACATGATGCACCGGAGAAGTTTGCACCAACTCTCGAGGTGAGGAAGTG